TTTGGCCAATGGTTTATCAATTTTGTTGATCTTTTCAAAGAACCAGCTTTTGGACTTGTTAACTCTTTGAATTGTTTTTCTATTCTCTATTCATTTAATTCTGCTCTAATTCTTATTATTTCCTTCCTTCTGGCCCCTGTGGGCTTCTTTTGCTGCTCTCTTTCTACTTGTTCCAGTTGTAGGGTTAGTGTTTTGATTATGGCCCTTTCTTCTTTTTGGATGTGTGCACTTATTGCTACAAACTGACCTCTGAGCACTGCTTTTACTGTGTCTCAAAGGTTCTGGTAGGGTGTGCTTTCATTCTTATTTGATTCTGTGAATTTCTTTATTCCATCCTTAATTTCTTGTATAACCCAGTAGTTTTTGAGCAAGGTGTTGTTCAGTTTCCATGTGTTTGATTTTTTTCATTGCTTTTTTCTCTTGTTGATTTCTACCCTTATGGCTTTATGATCAGAAAAGATGCTTTGTAATATTTTGATGTTTTGGATTTTGTTAAGGCTTGCTTTGTGGCCTAATACGTAGTCTATTCTGGAGAATGTTCAACGTGTGTTGGAAAAGAAAGAATACTTGGCTGCTGTTGGGTGTAGTGTTCAGTATATGTCTATGAGATCAAGTTGGTTGATTGTAACATTTAGGTCTTCCGTGTCTGTGTTGAGCTTCTTTTGGATGTTCTGTACTTCACCAAAAGTGGTGTGTTGAAGTCTCCTACTACTATTGTGGAGCTGCTTTTCTCTCTTTTCAGTGCTGTTAGAGTTTATGTATTTTGGAGCCCTGTCATTGGGTGCATAAATATTTATTATAGTTATGTCCTCCTGGTGTATTGACCCTTTAATCATTATATAGTGTCCTTCCTTTCATTTCAAAGTTTATTTTGTCAGAAATTAATATTGCCACTCCTGCTCTCTTTTGAGTGTTGCTTGTTTTATATATTTTTTTCCATCCTTTGAGTTTTAGTTTTTTGTGTCTTTAAGTCTAAGGTGTGTCTCTTGTAGGCAGCATATAGACAGATCGTGTTTTTTTATCTGCCTCTCTCTGTCTCTTTATTTGTGCATTTAGTCCATTTACGTTCAGTGTAATTATTGATAGGTATGAGTTTAATGCTGTCATTTAGATGTCTTTTTGTGTGTTGTTCAGTTTCTTTGTTCCACTTAATTTTCTGTGGTGAGTTGTTTTTCTTTATGTATTTTCTTTTCATCTTTTTCATTGTTGTTGATTTTGTGTTTGCCGAGTCTTTATATTTTTCTAGTTTTTTATTTTGACTTGTAGGATTGTTAGTTTCCTTTGTCGTTACCTTAATATTTACCCCTATTTTTCTAAGTTTATACCAGTCTTTTATTTCTTTATAGTGCCTTGAGTTCCTCTCCATATGCAGTATCTATGTTAAAGACACTATTTCAATCCTTATCTATAGCAGATATATTTTTCCTTTTTTATTATTTGGAAATTATCTCAGTTGAGTGGAATATTTTGACTCAAATAACTATTTTTTTAAGTGAGGAAGCAAAATCATTTATAACCGCTTATAGCAAAATGTAACTTATAAAGTACATACAGCCAGTTTTCCAAAGAGCTCCACCAGATTCTTTGGAGGCATAACAATGGAGGTATTAAGAGGCATCAGATAGCAGTTACCCAGCAGCAAGTCCAGGTAAGCAGTCATACCCTATTGGGGAGGGAAAAATGTTAGATATGATATAGATAGCATTAATATTACAGATTTTCCAGCTGCCATTAACAGTAGAACACAAGCAGCTACATCCTTTCAAAATCAACTATTGTATACTCAATAACAACAATATGGTAAGTTTTTGCTTCAAAAGTTGTACATTTGTGGAAGGACTTACTACCTGTCAGTGGACTAGGAAAAAGAGAATATCTTGGAATATCAATAAGAATGTGAAAGTCACCTTTTCAAAGTCATGTATAATTGCTGCAGGGTCACTATCAGAAAAACTGGGAACAGGTACATCAATGATTGCGATGTTGTCATCCTCACGAATGTCAGCTTCCTCAGTCACAGGCAGGAAGTAAGGCTCTCCTCCAGGAAGTGCATTTGCAGGGTCCTCAGAATCAAAGAAGCACATCTCTCCACGGTAGATGGTACTCTAAAAGACAAAAAGAGAAAAATTAAAACCTTCCAACGCTCACTACCATGACATGTGATTGTTTTCTCACATTTGTATCAATCCGTGTACTGTTTACCCAGTTTGTCAATTACATTTAGAGTCATGAAGACAAATCAATTTTATGAAATAAAAGGTAATTTTAAAATTTTCCCTAAATACTCATTTCTCTGATGACCACCACAGAATTATTTTAAGTTGCTACTAAATATATAGCAATTAGTAATCCAAATTATAAGAATTATAATTATTATTACCTTGGGCATGAAGTACTTGTAAATGCAGGCTCCACCAACGATAAGTCCTGCCAAGATGAATGAAAGGCCTAAGAGTGTAAGCATGCATCTCCCAGAGGAGCTCTCTTTTTCTTGGGTGGCAACTCGGAGCTCCTATTTATTAAAAAGCAAAACAAAAACAAAACCAGATTGTACTTTTAGACACATAGTTGCTTTCGTATACAAATTTTCTCACTTGAAACCCAAGATATTTTTGAATGATGTTAAGTCATTGCTCTTAAAATTACTTCAAGATTCTGATGTCTAATAGATGCAAAAATCTCCAAGTAGATTAATTTTCCTTCTGGCATTTCCAAACCCAAATATGCTTATGAAGTTATTTCAAGACACACATTTCTCGAATCAAATGAGAATAACTATTCATTCATACAATAAATTACACTGTTTAAATAAAAGGAAATAGTTACTTTTTGGACTTGTAAAGCGATATCATCATTAACTTTCTGGAATACAGTTAAGTTTCTTTACTATTTTTTTATTTTTTGGAAATCAACTTGTTTGCCAATTTAAAGACAAATTGGTGTCCTTTGATTTAGTAACTGATTTTCAAAAAACTGTTTTTTTTTGAAAATTAGGATTTAAAGAAAGTAGTCCTCTAAGGGCAGGCGTATTGCATTTTCCCCTATTTTAGAAATACAAATACTGAAGATAGAGATATACTTTATAATGCTCCTAATTTTAATGAAAAATATGAGGCTTCCTGTTGTTATTCGTTGCTGTCAAGCTGTTTATGACCCATGAACCCCATATGTGCACAGTAGAACTGCTCCATAGGGTATTCAAGACTTTTGGAAGCATATCGCTAGGCCTGTCTTCTGAGGCACCTCTGGGTGGGTTTGAACTGCCAAATTTTCAGCTAGTAGTTGAGTACTTAACCATTTGTGTCACTCAAGGACTCTAAGGCTTCCTAATGTCACTCAATGTTTTACAGCTGTGTACTGCATGAATGAAATAATGCTTTCCAAATTCTGGATGAAACACTAGATTTTTAAGTATAGGATTGGCTAGAACTAGTATAAAAGTTGTCTGTGTAACAGTTACTATAAAATTATGTTAAACCAATAATTTGCTTAGGAATTTGAACAAGAAAGATTCAACGCAAACAAGTAACTGATTAACTCTGCATGATCCCCAATCCCATTCTTGTTTCACGATATGCCCTAAATGGCATGATTACTCAGGGATAGAATAAATGAAATCAGCAAACTCGGGCCCTGATAATCAAACGGTAAATCATTCACACTGGTATGTAAATAGATCATTAACTCTTTTCCATGACAACTACTATAATGTTTATGCTATCTACCCAAACAAATTAATTTGCTGAAAATAAATGAGTGATTTGAAGTTAATGCAAGGGAGGAAAGCAGAGGTAAGCATTTAATATATGGTTTTTCAAATAAAAGATTTTTATTTAAAGTTCAAAGGAGTTTGGGATTCACATAGCTAAAAATTATTTAAATTCAAGCCCTCCATTAGTACTCTATAAACTTTGAAGGCTTTTCTTTGTCCCAATAATTTTCATCCATTTTTAATTAGTTTTATAAAAAATGTTATCTAAGATTAACACTACAAAGATAGAACTAAAAATTATGTTTAAGAAACACTGCGATCTAGAGCTGGAAGCTTAGAAATTATATTTTAGATGATTGAACTGACACCCGGAAATATGAAGTGATTTGCCTGTAAATCACATAATGACTTAATTTGATATTTTTAGAAGAATCAATTTCTGTTTTTTTCTTGCCACTGAGACATGAGAAGAACAATTTGCACTGTAATTTCATCTCTCTTTCCAAAAATTTGGAGCCCTGGTGGTGCAGTGGTTAAGAGCTCCGCTGCTAACCTAAAGGTCAGCAGTTCAAATGTACCAGCTGCTCCTGAGAAACCCTGTGGGGCAGTTCTACTCTGTCCCGTAGGGTCGCTATGAGTTGGAATCAACCTGACAGCGATGGGTTTGTGTTTGGTTTCCCAACAATTCAGGGAGTTTGTTACTAAGCAGGGACTAAATATTCGAGTATTAATTTCATAAAATATACCTACATACTAGGAATAAGAATTTTTGTTTCCATTTAAATTTGCTGGAATTCAGGGTGGTGGGGCCCATCAATTGCCATAGCTAATTTCTCTCTGAACTGTATTTTAAAGTCATTGTACACAACCTCTGATTTTTAATGTGTTGTACTCAATCTCTGATGAGCAGATCAATACATCGCTATGTAATGTATCAATCATGTATTATTAAATAAATATCCAGTTCAGGATCCTTTGGGAGCTTCTCCAACACCTAACAAAGAAATACAATCATAGTGCAAATGTCATATTTGTTTGTTCTTCATCACACCACATGCCTGGCAGAAGTACTGCTTGCATATTAACTTAATCCAAATACAAGTCATGAAGTTATTGGTGGTATGAGGGAAAAAAAGGGGGGGGGGGTTACTTCGTGGCTATATTTAACTGCTGGCATCTAATTAGAACTCCCAAAAAGATCTGGCCATATTTTACTTACAAAGCAAATTTGAGGACAATTACACATTTGACCTGTCATTTAACCAAAACTTCAACAATGCAAGGGGGTGTTACATTTGAGTTCTGAAATATATAATACACAAGAGCTAGTTTGATTGCTGTTCCCTGATAAAAATTCTACATAAGCACATTAGCATTTCAAATTGTGTGCATAATCAGTTTTACCACAAGGATTCTCATTTCACTCAAAGCACTTTCCAAAACTCTTCTACTGAACACAAAACTTTATAGAGAACAAAACAACTTAGGACAGATTTGTAAGCTTCAACACTTCACAGATTTTGGAGAACATGAACAAAATATGATTGCCTTTTAAATCTGAGATTTTACTGAGGAAAATAAGAAACAGTTTACAAACACTGAACACCTGATAGGTATTTAAAGGAAATATAGATTGGACTAAATAAATAATGGTTAAATTTGTTTGGGGAAAACTACCTCAGTTTCTGGCAAAGTTACTTTAAACTGCAACATCAGACCTGCTTCACATCTCTGTATGGGGGAGTAGATGGGGATTACTGCTCAAACAAAGACAATTTTTAAATATAAAAAGAAAGACGAAGTTTCTTTTTATAGAAGAAGAGTGTTTTCTTTAGGAAATGTCACTCAGAAAACATACAAGGCCTCTGAAGTACAAGGGCACAGTAAACACCCCAAAGTCAATTAAGACCAACCTCAGGTTGACAGCTGTTACCGAATGCTTCACACAGCCTTTGACCAGAGAGAAATTGAAATACACACACACACACACAGAGTCACACAGAGTTGTCAACCTATATTGCTTCTAGTCAAAGCCGCCCTTTGTCCCCACCCAACCCTAGCACCTGCAAACACTCTTAGATCTTAGAAGGATAAAGTCATAGAATTTCATCCACATCAAAAGGAAAGAATAGTTAAATCGCCTGCCCTTGCTCACCCCTCACGTCCGCTCCTCCCCTATGGAGGCTGTGCACTCCTCTGGAGCGGGGAACAGGGCAGCATGTCCCTCATTGGTACCCAGTCCCCAACTCGTCCCCCAAGAGAAGATGACATCAGGTCCCAGAGGTTTTCCTCAAACTCCCTCCAACCTCCCTCCGTAATGGGCAGCGTGGGACGCGCGGGGATGCAGAGGGGCGCGAGGCGCGGAAGGCTAGAGGTGGCTCGACCAGACAGAACAGGAGCTACAGGGAAACTCGACAGAGTAGAAGTGCAGAGCAGACCGCCAAGGGACCAAGGGGCTGCGGAAACCCTCCATTTTGTTCTTGCCACCAGTCTCCCCCACCCCCAACCCTGGCAGGCAGCCCGGGGAGGAGTGGGGGACCGCTACCTTCCCGGTCAGGATCTGAGCTCGGACAGTGCGGCTCACGAGGGCTTCCACGTCTTGTCGTGCCTCCTCCTTTTGCAGGGCGGTTGGGGTGTTGAAGGCGATTTTCACCATAGTGAAGCTTTGGGCTGCGCGGTAAGGCGCGTCTGGAATCAGCGTCCCAGGCTACAGGTTGGAAGAGGAAGAGATTGCACTCAATCTGGCAGCACCTATTTTCTCCGCTGTCTGCCTTAAGCTGCTGCAACCCTGGTCTAGGAATACTTATGATGCAATCCTAAATGGGGTGGGAGATCGGGGGCGGACTCAGGGAGGGGCCAAGGGAGGAGCGCGAAGGGGCCCAAATGCTGGGAGGAGGGGGTTGATAGCCGAGGCAGAGGATGGAAGGTGGAGCCCATGACCCGCTCTGGCTCTGTGTGCCTCAACTGCACCCCAGGAATTCTCCCTCTCACTTTCTGCGCCCTCAGATAAGAGCAAGGCAGGAAGCCTGCCTTGTCTTTCTGCCTTTGTTCAGGCTATGATAGTCCCTGAACCTGACACTGCTTTCAGAACTTGTGCCTGTCCCCACTCCCCCGCGGGGCTGGGAGCTATAACGTGGCACCAACCCAAGCTTCCTCAGCTCTGCAGGCATTCTGGCCCCTAAAGCACACTTCCACAGGATTCTGCATCTTTATAACAATACCTTCCTTTAAAGAACGCCTTTAAAGTCCGTTTATAGTAATTTGGTTCATTCTCGCAGCAACTTTTTTTTTTCTTGAGTTTGTTTGTTTCATACTGTTACTTTCCCAACCTAAAGTCCCTGGCACTGTTTAGAATAGAAAAATGAAGCTTCTTGCTCCCACCTCCCCATTTTGCAGGTAAGACATAAGACACAGAAGAGGATGAAAGCTCATCTTGAGTCCCTGAAATAATCCAGATGTTTTCACTCTCCCAGGTCAGGGAAACTAGAGTATGGTCTCAGCCCAGTGCCTGTTTCTCTTCAGCCACCAGCTGTGAAGTCTGCAGGGAGAAAAGCAGGGATGTATGTGAAGCTATGTGTTTAGGGAGGTGGAGGTGGGGTATAGGATACAAAATTTAGCCAGACGCTAATCCAGCACTAGTGGGAAAAATAATAACCCAAAGGGGCTGAGTCAGAAATCATTACTGAAACATTCATGTGGGCAGACAGTGTAATCAAGCTACTTCCTGAGAGTTAAGTCCTCCCAGGTTGCAGACACTGATAGAGAACTTCACCATGTGAAATCCAAGCTGTGGAGGAGGGTGGTGGCTGGGCTTGGCGGTGGTACAGCATTATAAATAGTCCTGCTGAGGAAGCTAGTCTGTTGTGTCAAGTCAATAACAATTAAGAAAGAAAGTCTGTGTTAAAGAATCCCCTATCTACCCTCTACTTACTAAGAGACTTGAATATGTTAAGAGCCACCACCACTCCATCCAAGACATTCCAGCTTGAAATTTTTCCCACTGAGGTTTCCTTGACTCTGAAGCCTGTTGCCTGTCTACACTGTGGGAACTTTGTGAAGACAGCCTTTATTTTCTTGGATAGGCCACAGATGGGAAGGTTGATGGAGGTGAACAGTGGGGAGCCTGTTGCCTTATACAAGGCCAGAGCCTTATAAAGCAGAATGTTTGATTTTGCTTAGAAATGTTCACATCCTATGTTTTTTCACTTATTATTGCTCAGATCTGCCATTATAATTTAACGTTTATCAGGCAACTTTAGTATAGGCTGAAGAAATCTCAGCTTCCTAGCATGTTTCTGTTTACAGTTAACCATCTGTTTGTAACAATTCAGTCTAGGGTCTGTGCTGGTCTTGCTCTCTGATCCACACCACGCTGATGGTTGAACAAATGGTCTTTCTACAAGTTTATCTACCAAGTGCAGGGATCTGTGTGGGATAGTAATGTATGTTCTCAGCGTGTCTTCCTTGAAATCTGGTTCGGTAGGAAGAGCAGGGATTATTTCCATTTTTCATCTGAATAGACTCAAACTCTGAGCACAACCAAGGCAGTATATAATCAATATAATCAATTGCTGGGTATGTGACATTGAGCAAATCACCTCATCTTCTTGGGCCTCAGTTTCCTCCCCTGTAGAATGGTGCAATATTTTTATCCTGTTGCTATGAAAAGGATAGGAGAGTAAAATGGTTAGTTACCCTGGGATTCTTATTTTAGTTTGTAGCATACTCATGTTTCATGATTATGAGAATGGTCTTTTTTTTAACCCTTCAACCATTATTTAGGCCCTGGAGCTGCTCTGAGTCCCATAGTATTTGAATATAGGTCTTTTTGGAAAAGGTTAGGCTTCTGAGGATAATCACATAAATTTGCATCTAACTTTTCATGGATTTTGAAGAATTTGATTATCTCCCATTTGTTAACACCATGCCCCATTTTAGTTATTCCACCCATACATCTCTGAGGGTCTTTGCTGCTGTTGCATAAACGTGATGCAGGCACCATCTCAAAATAACTGATACCTGTGTCACCCTCTTCACGTAAATAAGTAATATTTATGTAATGAATGAGGAACCCTGGTGGCACAGTGGTTAAGCACTCGACTGCTAACTGCTCTGAGGGAAAAAGATATGGCAGTCTGCTTCTGTAAGGATTACAGTCTTTCTATTATGTCCTATAGGGTAACTATGTGTCAGAATCGACTCGAAGGCAACGGGTTACGGGTTGTGACAGAATCATAGAATAGCAGCAACACTCAGTGTTAGTGTCCATTTCAGGAAGGAAAAATTGTTCTGGCATGTTTTTTGAATTTCAAAATATAAAGCTGCCACTTGCTCATTGGGCTGAAACCAGTAATAATCACATTTCCATCTACCAAAGGAAAAAAAGAAAAGGTTTTCACTCGCCAAATTCTTTCTTGTACTCTCTCCTTCCCAGCAACAACAACCTTTTTTTTCCTAGAATCAATTTCTCCCAATTTTTTGTCTTTGAAAACGGTAGGAATTTGGCTGCCATGCCAATTCCAGCTCACATTGTTAATAGTGTTTGAATGCACACCGTTCAAGTTTATAAAGGATTTCCCTGTTCCTACACGTCAGATGATGACTAAATTATCACAACTTGAGCTGAATGGAACATGGTATGCAACTCGATGTCAAGCAATGACGTTAACTCTCTTTAAACGACCTTCTGAAATTACTAAAGATTCGATCAGGAAAGAAAAAGGCTATTGGGGCATCAGTGATACCGTTTCACTCATTAACTCATTCATTCATTCATCAAATATTTATTGAATGTCTACTATGTGCCTTGTGTTGTGTTCAGCCCTGGGACATAGTAGTAAGCAAAACAGACACAATTTTGCCCTTATAGAGCACATTATCATTGCACCAATGACAATGACATATTTGTCATGAGTGTTCCAGTTTTTGTAGTGGGAACGCTGGTCCTATGCTATGGTAGGGTATAGCAATTCAACGAACTGCAGAATTTTTCCACCCATAGCCAGTACTGCTAGGAGTGTTTAAATCCCTAGCTCACTTGCAATAATTTCACACTCAGCATTCAATTTAGGAAGATTAATCTGACAGTAAGATGGACTGGGAAACCAGTAAGAAGGTACTCTCCCATATTTCAGGTGCACAGTGGGGGATTACACTGGTAATTGAGATACTGAAAAGAAATAGACAACTTCCAGGGATGTTTAGGAGACATGCCTTACAAGACTTGGTTCTGGAATAAATAATACGAAGGAGAAAAATTAGAAAAAAATATTTCTGTTTTGAATGACTGGGAATCCCAGACTGGGAGAATGGTGGTGACCTTGATAGCAATACTAAACACTTGTTGAACACATCAAATGCTAGAACTCTGTGCTTAGCCGTTTAAATTGATTATGCCATTTAATCTTTGCCTCAACCCTGTGAGGTATTATATTCATCATTTCATTGATGAAAAAATTGAATTTCCAAGAGGTTAGATAACTTGCCCAAGGTCAGATTCTAACACAGGTAGTCTGGTTCTAATGTTTATACTCTTAACCAATGTATAGTCTTGCTGTCACTAAAATAAATTGGAAAATCAAGAGGGGAGCTGGTTTGAAAGTGGGAGAAATACTCAGCATACTCTTCTGGGCAGTGGAGCATGAATCCCCTGCTTATACTGCACACAGAGATTCCTGCTTTGGATTTTGTTCAGGAATACGTTTGAAATCCCTTTACTACTTTCCTGGCCTATCCATAGCTATGGGCTGCTCATCTTAAAGTCCCTTTCTCCTGAGTCTTGCAGTTGATTCTGTGAGCAGAGAAGCAGCTACAGGGAAAGCTGGCTAGCTCTTTGTATCTGGGTATAATTCCACAAGTTTGGTGTAGATCTTTAAAGAGTCAGACAGTATTCTAGGTCCACTATTTCCCTGCACACTTAACTAGGCTCTGGGAGCAGAGCTAGGGTTCCTCCCTCAAGGTAATAGAGGACACTGATCTTGGTTTATGTAATAGATTCGTGTTTTTCAACTCCATTTAAGGTTTTCTCTGTAAGCCCTTAAGCTATGATAAAAGGAGTATGCAACATATTCTTAAATATGAGAATGGATTTCATCATCTCTTCCCAAAGATGTGGCCATATCTTTGAGTTTAAGAGGCAGTTGTGCCCGTACCTTAATTCATAAAATGTGAATGCATAGATGGGAACAAATAGTTTTTCATTTTTGTCATTTGCTGGAGCCCTGGTGGCACAGTGGGGCAACTGAAAAATCTAGTGAAAACGTTTGCACTTTCTCTAAACTGTGCAAAAATCCTGATTTCATTGCAGACTATCTTTGAGGGATTTTCAAAATAGAGTTTTCAATCAATATTCGAACATGTATTATCCGATAAAATTTTACAGCAATTCCAGTCCTGAGTAGTACAAGTGACAAACTCAAGCCTAGCCTCAGGAATGCTTCTGAGAATTCCAGTTGGTTTATTTGTTCCATAATATAGCACTGAGTAATACTGAGGTATATTTGTAACTTTAAAGTTAGTTCTTGTGAAATGAAAGCAAAGCACTTTTATTTTCATTAATGATAATTAAGCAAGATATTATTTTACCTTCAGGTTTAGTTTTGTTAATGGCTCAATGTACTCTGTTCACATTTTAAAGAATACAAAATCTCAAATTGTTTGATGTCACATGATTCACTTTTGTTGTTCTTGAGATACAGCTTTTTAAAATTTTTATATTACTCCTTTTTTTATTTTACATTAATCCAATGTATTTATATCACAAAGCCTTTAATTACTCCAAAGTCTGATGGAATCTGGGTAAT